TCCTCTGGACACATTCCAGCTTGTCAATATCTCTCTGCAATTGTGGTGCCCAGAATTGGACACAATATTCCAAAATCTCCTCTTGGAGATGGATGGGGTGGCTGGAGGCATTTTGTGCCATATGTAAGCCAACTCAAGTCCCTTCAGGGAGATGGAGGCAGGGTACAAAATAAAGTTGTTGTTCTTGTTCTTGTTGTTCTTGTTGTTGTCGTCATCATCACCATCATTATCATCTTCACCTCAGAGAGGTAGCTGGCCAATTTAAGCCTAGAATTGGTCTTTTAAAGAATAGAAAATGCACAATAAATTGATTATGTTCAAGTCTTGTTAATGGCCCACGTAAGCTAAAACATGGTGATGATGCTTCCAGTGTTATCTAAAAGAGTGTCTGAGAACCTTTGGGAAACACCCATTTTGTATTTCGTTTGCAGAGGAGGCTGATCCTTTAATGGTTTCCTGAGAAGTCAGAGCATCTCCCAGTCTTCCATGCTGGCTCACTCATTTATTATGTTCTTAATTCTATAAACCCAGACATTTCCATAGGTACGTTGTGCATCTACACTGTAGAACAAATGCAGTTTGACACCACTTCTGCTGCCAGGGTTCAATGCTATAGAATCCCGGGTACTGTCATTTTCCAAGGTCTTTAGCCTTCTCTCCCCAACTACAACTCCCCAAATTCCATAGCACTGAGTCCTGTTAAAATGGAGTCAAACTGCATTTATTCTACAGTGTAGATGTGTCTGTAGGTAGAGATATAATCCAAGATCTTATATTTCAATTGCTACGTATATCGCCATTTGGGAATATGCACATTGATTGTGCTGCTGAATGCTTGGTCAAATGGCAATGCAGTGGGCATTAATATAAATGTATCTGAGTGCACAAATGAATATGGAGCAACTGAATGCACAACCAAATATGCCTTCAGATGGTTCAGATGGAAAGTGCTAACTCCTTTCGTAAGAAAGTTTACACTTTTAAAGTCTCCAATATGATTTCACCCTATTTCCAAGTTTCTTATCTCCTTCTGGGCTGCTTCTTCCATGGATTGCCTTTGACTTGCAACATGTGCTGCTACCTAGCTTGGTTTTAATGTGTTTAGACAGTAAATAATATTTTTGTCCTGTCTCACATTTGAAAATATTTCATTTTTACATGAATTTTGTATACATTATTCCATGATCTATACACTGCCATATAATGCAGTTTGGAACATCAGTATATGGTCAGTGTAGACTCATGTATGATAAGAAACAAATTCTTATCATGTATGATAAGAAACAAATTGGTATGATAAGAAACAAAGATGGCAGGGACCTAACAGAAGCTGAAGAGATCAAGAGAAGGTGGCGAGACTATACAGAAGATCTGTATAGGAAGGATAATAATATTGAGGATAGTTTTCACGGTGTGGTGAATGAATTAGAACCAGACATCCTGAGGAGTGAGGTTGAATGGGCCTTAAGAAGCATTGCTAACAACAAGGCAGCAGGAGACGACGGGATCCCAGCTGAACTGTTTAAAATCTTAAAAGATGATGCTGTCAAGGTGATGCATGCCATTTGCCAGCAAATATGGAAAACACAAGAATGGCCATCAGACTGGAAAAAATCAACTTATATCCCCATACCAAAAAAGGGAAATGCGAAAGACTGCTCAAACTTCCGTACAGTGGCCCTTATTTCTCATGCCAGTAAGGTAATGCTCACGATCCTGCAAGGAAGACTCCAGCAATACATGGAGCAAGAGCTGCCAGATGTTCAAGCTGGGTTTAGAAAAGGGAGAGGAACGAGAGACCAAATTGCCAATATCCGCTGGATAATAATGGAGAAAGGCAGGGAGTTTCAGAAAAACATCTACTTCTGTTATTGACTATTCTAAAGCCTTTGGCTGTTTGAATCATAATAAATTGTGGCAAGTTCTTGGTGGTATGGGGATACCAAGCCCCCTTGTCTCTCTCCTGAGGAATCTGTACAAGGACCAAGTAGCAACAGTCAGAACTGACCACGGAACAACAGACTGGTTCAAGATTGGGAAAGGCGTACGGCAAGGCTGCATCCTCTCACCCAACCTTTTTAACTTGTATGCAGAACACATCATGCGATGTGGGGCTGGATGAATGCAAAGCTGGGGTGAAAATTGCTGGAAGAAACATTAACAACCTCAGATATGCAGATGACACCACTCTGATGCCTGAAAGCGAGGAGGAGCTGAGGAGCCTTCTAATCAAGGTGAAAGAAGAAAGCGCAAAAAGCGGGTTGCAGCTAAACGTCAAAAAAACCAAGATTATGGCAACAAGAATGATTGACAACTGGAAAATAGAGGGAGAACATGTGGAGGCCGTGACAGACTTTGTATTTCTAGGTGCAAGATTACTGCAGATGCAGACTGCAGCCAGGAAATCAGAAGACGTTTACTTCTTGGGAGGAGAGCAATGTCCAATCTCGATAAAATAGTAAAGAGTAGAGACATCACACTGGCAACAAAGATCCGCATAGTCAAAGCAATGGTATTCCCTGTAGTCACCTACGGATGTGAGAGCTGGACCTTAGGGAAGGCTGAGCGAAGGAAGATCGATGCTTTTGAGCTGTGGTGCTGGAGGAAAGTGCTGAGAGTGCCTTGGACTGCGAGAAGATCCAACCAGTCCATCCTCCGGGAAATAAAGCCCGACTGCTCACTGGAGGGAAAGATACTAGAGACAAAGTTGAAGTACTTTGGCCACATCATGAGGAGACAGGAAAGCCTAGAGAAGACAATTATGCTGGGGAAAGTGGAAGGCAAAAGGAAGAGGGGCCGACCAAGGGCAAGATGGATGGATGGCATCCTTGAAGTGACTGGACTGACCTTGAGGGAGCTGGGGGTGGTAACGGCCGACAGGGAGCTCTGGCGTGGGCTGGTCCATGAGGTCACGAAGAGTCGGAGACGACTGAACGAATGAACAACAATCTACACTGAGCATATAGTTCAATTTGAAGCTAGCTTCAAACTGTGGTGGCTATATAGTGCATGCTTCCGAAGCATATTGCAGCTTGGATTAAGGGGAATAAAACACATTAAGAAGAGTTGGGAGAAAGTCTAAAATAAGCTCCTCAAGGTGCTGCAGTGCAGGAGCAATTTAAGTCACATTGCTGAGCAAAATCAGCTCCATAGGATGCAAAACTCTTTGTAGACACCCTCTACACTGGAGCACTCTGTAAAATTTGGAATGTGAAAAACACCCCAAGGGCATGGCTGTGCAGCATGGGCCAAATGATCACCTGAGGAAAGTAACTGATTACCTCCACTACTATCAGCTTCACTTCTTGTTTCCACCTCGGAGGCCTCTGGAGCACTGGTGCACATCTAGGCAGGAAATGGGGAAAAATCCCACATTCTCCAGCAGCTATCAAGCCACTGATGCTACAGATTCTGGAACTGGTTCAAAGCCACCTTTTGTGGTTAATGTAATCACCTTCCTGGCCTTGAACCTATTCCACAAATATAAGTCTAATCATTCACATAGCAAAACTAGTTTCTGCCAAACTGGTTCCAAACTGACCTAAGTGGTCAGTGTTCATATCGAATAAGATAGTTAACACAAACTCTTTAATTAGTTAACATAAAAGTGAAAGACAAAGTCAAAATAAGCTCATCCTATAATTCCAGTTATTGCTATGGCAACAATATTCTCAGTAATTATGACAATGTGGTCAATTCTCTCTCAGTGGCCACATTCTTCTCAAATCATTTCCCCCCTGTGGCTTCATGTCATTTTGTTCTTCTTTTCTATGTTTGCTTTTTTCAATTTTCCCCTTTTCTATTCCCACTTTGAAATTATTTCAAGTCCTTCATCTTCAATTATCAACAACTGATATCATATAGACCTGCCTTTTCTTCCACATTCCATATTTTTCTCTTAACTTATTCCATATTGTCTAATCTCACTGACCAAAGCTATAGAGGTATCTATCCTATATTTTTAAATACCATCATGTACCGGCTGAAATACTTCTCATGTGTTGGGAATGGAAGGAGAGTGGAACGGTGAGTTTTTGAAAGTTGTCTCTTTTTTCACATTTTCTAAGAAAAAAAATTGCTAGGATTGATTTTTAAAGAACAATATCCATATTTCTGCTTTCTTTCTATGTACGAATTGCCAGTTCCTGAAGAGTTAAGTGTTTCTATTGCATAATGTCTCCTTTCAGCAGATAGGAAATATACGCCCCTTCTTTTGGGGCTGTATGTTTGCCAACTTTGTAGTGAAATTCTACGTTGCCGTGTGTAAGCACTGTGCCAAACTGACATTATAACTGTGTGCATTTCTGTCTTCTGCGAAAAAGAAAAAGAGATGGCCTGAGAGAGAGAGATGGGAACATGAAGTTAAAGTTTGCTCTGCCAGAGTATTGCTGATGCTGCTTACCTCTGTGGGGATGAAGGAGTCCGAATAAGAGAACGGGAATGAGTTTACATGATATGTATGAAGATTTGCCTGTAGTCCCTGGGTTGAAGTGACTCCCACTGCCACCACTTGGATTCATCTGGCTTGATGAGGGGGGAGGCAACCATTTTCGACAATGCCGTCTTTTGACGAGGTCTTAAAAGAAGCTGGGGAGTTTGGAAGGTTTCAAAAGAAGGTTTTTTTCCTTCTTTGCCAAACTGGGATCACTTTTTCTTTTTTATTTGTTGGAGTTGTGTTTATTGGACAACCTCCTGAACAGTATTGGTGTAGGATTCCTTGTGCAGCTGAACGGAGCGAACGTTGCGCATGGACATTTGAAGAGGAGTACAATGTCACAGTTCTTGCTTCGAGTTTGATGAATTATTCTTCTCAGTGCAAGAGGTATGACGTGGAATGGAATAGTACCTGCTCCAGCTGTTCTGATGACCCACTGTCTCGTCTTCCCAATGGCAGCTTGGGCAAGGTGCCACTTACTACATGCCAGGATGGCTGGCGTTACGAAAAACCCCATTCGAGCATTGCCACTGAGGTAAGAGAATTCAAAATCATCCTACAATAGTTTTTTGGCTTAACAATGCATGACTATAAAATAATGTTGAGAGTGGACTTCGATAACTCAATTTGTTTTTCCCATTCCATTTTCCTTATGGCTGCAATTGAAAAGGGTTATAGATAACTTTCAATCATGGTGCCAGAACTAAGTGTATGAATGAAATCCAGCACTGTTCCATGTATTGTCAAAGGCTTTCATGGCCGAAAACACTGGGTTGTTGTAGGTTTTTCAGGCTGTGTGGCCATGTTCCAGAAGAATTCTCTTCTGACATTTTGCCTGCACAGTGTCAGGCATCCTCAGAGGTTGTGAACATGGCCATACAGCCCAAAAAACCTACAACAACCCAGCACTGTTCCATTTGTATTAACCATTTGAAATAGAAAAATCTAGAATGATAGATGCATGAAAAAGAATAATAGCACCATGTATAGATGACTATTTGAAAACTGAGGCAACTAGGGGCCCTTCCACACAGCCCTATATCTCAGAATATCAAGAAAATCTCACGATATCTGCAGAAAATCTCACAATATCTGCTTTTAACTGGGTTATCTAAGTCCACACTGCCATATATTCCAGTTCAAAACAGATAATGTGGGATTTTATTTAGCTGTGCGGAAGGGGCCTAGATTACCTTGTACCATTTCAGTTGCAGTATGAGTTTATTAGTCCTCATTCTGAAGATGAGCTATTTCTCATTTGACAATATATTAGAGAGAGATTGTAGCTCAGTAGCAAAAGATGCACCTTGCATGATAAAATTCCTAGATTTCAGTTCCTCCATTTCTACTTAGAATCATAGAGTTGGAGGCCCATTAAGTCCAACCTAATTCTGCCATGCAGGAATACACAATCAAAACAAAATATAAAGTAGAAGCTGATAAAAAAGAAATTTCTTTCAGAGAGAAATAGAGGGAAATGTTTCTAGTTATGGTATTGAATACTAGGATAGATGTGGTACACCCCCCCTCCCCGTGACGTTTCTCCAGCAGTTGTGGTGCAAGTGGCAACTCTGTCACCCTGCATTCCACTCCGGTGTGATGCCGCTTCCCCCATTACACGGGGGAAGTGTCACCCAAAGAGGGCAGAAGTGTGCTGGCTCCATTAGTGCCAGCACAACATGGGAAGGCTCCCATGTTCTGGGGGTACTTCCACCCTGGTTGAGGACTGGCCCTCCGCTGGAAGTCACATGGCGTTGTGTGATGGCCAACGTGGGGCTCTGTCCCCAAACAAGGCTGGAAGCATCCTAGAATGCTGAATTTGGTAAATGTGATGAAGTCGTAGGTCTGAAATGGTATAACTCAGTTTCCAGCATTGCTCAATTCTAGCCTTAATTTAGGGTCAAATTGAGGTAAGGTCAATGCCAGCCATTTCAGCCACAAAAATTCTAGAAAAACACAGTTTATTCTCAAATGACCATGCTCAAACCAGCAAATTTCATAAGACATCTACAAAGCAAAAAAAATACCATCATAATGTTTGCTTGTGATGAAATTGTGGCAAGATTTTGAAATTCAAGAAACTCTCAAGAGGATGCTAAGCAAAAAAGGGAGAAAGAAAAATAAGAGGAGAGAGAAAGGATGCTGTTAATACCGGTAATGTGAGGCCCCATCTACGTTGCTATATAATCCAGTTTCTGAATCCAGATTATCTGATTTGAACTGGATTATATGGCAATGTAGACACATATAATCCAGTTTAAAGAAAATAACCTGGATTCAAAAACTGGATTATATGGCAGTGTAGATCCATCTAGCCTCATAAAATGCAGCTTGAACTGCATTGAACCAGATTATATGAATCTACACTGCCATATAATCCACTTCAGTATGCATTATAATGGCGCTGTAGATGGGATCTCAGGCCCCATCTACTCCGATATAAAATCCAGATTATTTATTTATTTTGAACATTTATATCTCACCCTTCTCACTCCTGAAGGGGACTCGGAGTGGCTTACAATTGGCACTCATTAGATGCCATACAAACAATAGCAATAAAATCACAATTAATCATTAACAAAATAAATTAAAACATTCATTTAAAATCTACTTTGAACTAGCAGATAAGGTCCCCTTCTACACTGCCATATAATCCAGATCATCAATGCAGAAACCCACATTATCTGATTTGCATTGGATTATATGAGTCTACACTGTCATATAATCCAGTTCAAAGCAGATAATCTGGATTGTAAATGACTGTGTAAAAGGGGGAGCACTCTAATCCCTTAGGAGAGTGCTGGAAAGCGCCTCCATGCAAAAATCCAGCCAGGATCCAAGCACCCTTTTGTATAGTGTAGGAGATGACTGCAAGAACAACACAGGCTGAATCTACACTGCCAAATAAAATTCAGATTATCTGCTTTGAGCTGGATTATATGGCAATGTAGAAGGGGCCTTAGAAAAAGAAACCTCAGAGGTGGTTTTGCTAGTTCATTCCTCTGACATATAGTCTATGGCACATGATATTCATTGGTGGTCTCCCATCTAAGTGTTAATCAAGGCTTACTTGGTTTAACTGTTCTGTATTCTCCAACACAGGGTTGGCTGGCAGAGCCATGAGGGGGTAACAATGGTCTGGTCTAGCTTTATAATTCTGTAGGTTGTGAATTTCGACTTGTGAAAGCAGCCAGACTGCCACATATTCTAAACATGCTTTTGTTGGTGCAGCTGCTGTTGCTGGAGGGACTGAATAATCTCTTGGAAGTCAGTCAATTAAAGTCGTGGGACTTCACTTCAGAATAAATGGGGCCAAGAATGGAGGCTGATCTTGTAGGGTCCTTCCAGCCAAGGCTTTTATTGTAAAACCCTCCAGCTTCATTCATGAAGTTTCACAAGGTCGCCACACATTTTTTTCTCGGTGTGTTGTTCTTTTATATATGTTCCCACTACTTATTCCATTTTTGTTTCTTACCAGAAAGGAAAAATAAATGAGGAGGAAAACTGTGTACCATTGCACTGTTTTTTTTATTAGTAATCCTTCTGAAAATATCCTTATTTGTAAAACTCTGAAGGGACTAAACTGAACCAATCAGTATCTTCACTTAGACATTCTAATAAGCACAACATTTTGCCTTTCTGACTCAGAAATTACAGCATACATATGCTATCTATATTTACATGGAATTTTGAAAATACAACTAAAGGCGTGTTGACCATAAAACTAACAGTCATATTGTGTCATTTTTATTGGGCCACCCAGGAAGTGCAGAATTAATCACATCAGCTTTGATAGTAGAGTTGCAGATCTGCATTTTCTTCACTTGAGATGTCATAGTGAAATGACATATGCAGTTCAGGCCATCTTTCCTTCCTGCCCCCAAAGCTATGGGGTTACTGAGAACAAATGTTGTAAAAAAAAAAAGCAATAAATTTCCCATTTTCCATTTGCAGCCATAGAATGCCTCCTACTAAGATCTGTGAGTAGATCAATAGGTACTGTTCTGGCGGGAAGGTAACAGTGCTCCATACAGTCATACCGGCCACATGACCTTGGAAGTGTCTACAGACAACGCCGGCTCTTCGCCTTAGAAATGGAGATGAGTACCAATCCCCAGAGCTGGACACAACTGGACTTAATGTCAGGGGAAAACCTTTACCTAAGATTTGGGCTGGCTTTGCTCTGTGCGAAGTCACTGGTCCCTAATGTTGGCAGAGTGTTGTGATTCTTTTAGGAAGGGTCAATACTGGCAGGTGCAGAACTTATGGTAATTTAGGCATCAAAATAGGGTCATGGTGGTGCAGCAGGTTAAACCACTAAGCTGAAGAACTTGCTGACCAGAAGGTCAGCAGTTCAAATCTGCAAACAGAGTGAGCTCCTGTTGTTAGCTCCAGTTTCTGCCAACCTAGCAGTTCGAAAATATGCAAATGTGAGTAGATCAATGGGTACTGCTTGAGCGGGAAGGTAACAGTGTTCCGTGCAGTCATGCTGGTCACATGAACTAAGAGGCGTCTACGGAGAATGCCGACTCTTCAGCTTAGAAATGGAGATGAGCACCATCCCCAGAGTCAGACTTGACTAAACTGAATGTCAAGGGGAAACCTTTACTTTTACATTTAGGCATCAAAACACGCAAACCTTCTAAACAGGTGTAGATATTAAGTAATTTTACTTTTGGGTTGTTGTAGGTTTTTCGGGCTATATGGCCATGTTCTAGAAGCATTCTCTCCTGACACAACCTCACAATCTCTGAGGATGCTTGCCATAGATGCAGGTGAAACATGAGGTGAGAATGCTTCTAAAACATGGCCATATGGCCCGAAAAACCTACAACAACCCAGTGTTTCCAGCCATGAAGGCCTTCAACAATACAATTTTACTTTTTGTTGGAGGAAACAAATTTCAGAAAATCAAGTAAAAGATGGCATTAGTCTTCTATCTTCAAGTTAGGATCCCTCTGTTTGGCCACTAAGAAATACTTTGAAATATGTTTTATTGAATCCAAATGAATTTAGTTATATCTGGGTACGTACTACTGTAGCCTTCATCATTAGCTCAGTAGAAAGCTTCCCCCGGTCTTACAGCATAAAGGTTCAGTTCACTTGCAGATGACACATGAATATAGATGAGGGATTTCATGTCTGAAGGCATGCCTGGAGCCTTCTTCTCCTCTTCCAGATAAGTAAGGTTTCCATATTTCAAGAGATTGCAGTATCCTAACACGTTATTTCCCATGAGCATTTTAACGTAACACTATTGTAGTCAAAAGTATGGAAAAAATGGTAAATAGTAAAACAGTAAACATGGCAGTGCACTTGGTCATTAAAGCTAGCTGTCCTTGTCTGACTGCTCCCAGAATGGTGTGGTAAGTGGGTGGATGATGAATTTCTGGAGGAGGGAAAGAACATCGTTCCTTCTAATATTTTCTCCCAAAGGCAGATGCAGCTTTCTGGAACAACTTGTCAAGTTCCTATGTCAACTGAAGCACAGAGGCTGTTTTGTTTTTATTGTGATCTTGGCACTTCATTCCCTATGGAGGACACATTTTGGTCTGCTGCCTATATACACTCTTGGTTGAATCTATCAGATTAATACGTCCTTCAGAGAAAAATAATTGGTTTCCCAGAAGAAGGAATTTGGTTGTCTGGCACATTGGGATGCCAGCAACATAGCAACATAGTCATAGATGCAACACTGTTGTTATTTCAATTGAAAATGTTTATCTTAAGGACAAAATCCACTTTTATCCATATATTCAGTGATGTCTAAACACACATAGGGTCACATAACGGCCATGCAATTTTTTTTATTGCAATATGTATACTGGCTGTAATTGCACATTGCAAATAAGCTTGCACCATGGTGTTATAACTCTCTAGAGAATAATTTCAAATATCTCATCAAACTACACATCCAGACTTCTGGACTTTAACTTCCTGATATTGAAAGTATTATCACCACTTTGAGTCTCCTTTGGGGAGATAAAGTGGGGTATAAATAAATAAATAAATAATATCAAACTAGTTAAATTCTACTTGCTTACTTAATTAGGCAATCCCTCGTTGTCTGAGTATGATGGCCTTCCAGGTGTAATGTCTTGGCAGTGGATACGTAGGTGACTATGGAGCCCTATTCTTGATCCGCATGTTCTTCCACAGTGAGGGCATCGGATATACCTTCTTCTTGGCATGTTTCTCTCTTTCGCCCTCTATTTGAGCTTCTTTGAATTCCACAGCACCACTTGACCTCCAGTTAGAGTGCTCAAGGGCCAGGGCTTCCCAGTTCTGTATGTCTATGCCCCAGTTTTTAAGGTTAGCTGTATTCTGTAATTTAATTCTGTATTGTAAATGCATTCAAGTTAAATTCACCTACATACCTTATTCAGATTCTTTCTTCCAACCATTCGACAGAGCAGCCAGGACACACAGACGGACTCACAGACACACATATCCTGTGCCCTGAAGAAGTTCATGCCCACCAAACTCATTTAAGGAGAAAAGGAGCCTTCTGTTACAACCAGGTGTAGCTTACACATACTATGGATAGCATCCTATTATTATATATGTAAGTCTAAGTCCAATGTACATGTATATCTTCTTCTGTCACTGCAGAGCTTGATATTCTCTACTTCTCTTGTGCAACAACCAAAACTCTCACAGTCCTTCTTCTGTCTGGAGCTCCATACCTCTAATAATAATAATAATAATAATAATAATAATAATAATAATAATAATAATAATAACAACCTGGTTATGGCTCATGAATGGAACCCTGAAGAAGGAGACAGAAGTCCTGACTCTTGCAGCCCAGGAGCAAGCCATCAAAACCAATGCAATTAAGGCCAGGATTGAAAAATCAGAGGATGACCCAAAATGCAGACTGTGCAAGGAAGCTGATGAAACCATGGACCATCTCCTCAGCTGTTGCAAGACGGACTACAAACAAAGACACAACCCTGTGGCCCAGACGATTCACTGGAAGTTATGTCACAAGTACCACCTGCCAGCAGTAAAGAATTGGTGGGATCATAAACCCGCAAAATGAACATGCACAAATACTGTGGGACTTTTGAATCCAGACTGACAAAGTTTTGGAACACAATACACCAGACATTACGATTGTGGAAAAGAAAAAAGTCTGGATTATTGATGTCGCCATACCAGGTGACAGTCGCACTGAGGAAAAACAACAGGAAAAACTCAGCTGCTATCAATACCTCAAAATCGAACTGCAAAGGCTCTGGCATAAACAGGTGGTCCAGTGGTCATTGGCGCACTGGGTGCCGTGCCAAAAGATCTGAGCCGGCATTTGGAAACAATAAACATCGACAAAATCACGATATGTCAATTGCAAAAGGCCACCTTACTTGGATCTGTGTGCATCATTCGAAAATACATCACACAGTCCTAGAAGCTTGGGAAGTATTCAACTTGTGATTTTGTGATACGAAATCCAGCATATAGATCTCGTTTGCTGTGACATACTGTGCTTTTGTGTCAATAATAATAACTATTATTATTATTATTATTATTATTATTTCTCATCTGCCTCTCCCTATGACTTGAGGTGGGTCACAGCACAGTTAAAGCACATAAATACTATAAAAATTCTACAAACACACATTGAAATTCAGTTCCATGAAAGATACAGATCAAAGCATTTATGTAAAATACACATTAATCACACAGGACAGATACCAAAACACATGACATGAGTTTAAAATTCATGCTTTCAACTGGCTGGATAGGCCTGACAGAAGAGATAGGTTTTTAGATGTTTTTAAAATTCCGACAGCTGATCTAAGTATTGAAGCTCATCCGACAGGTCGTTCTGCAGTTTTGGGGTGGCTGATGAAAACGTCCTCTAGGTGACAGTGGCCAGTCAAGTTCTGGCTGGTTGGAGCAGACACTCCCCAGAAGGCCAAAACATGTGAGGTGGATTGTATGAGAGAAAGCGATCCTTTAGGTAACCTTGACCCAAACCATGATGGGCTTTAATGGTCAAAAGTACAAACCTTGTACTTTGCCTGGAAATGTATTAGCAGACAGTAAACTGACTGTAGGATAGGTGTAATATGCTCACTCCTAGATGTTCCTGTAACCAATTTGGCTGCTGTATTTTGAACCAACTAGAGTTAGTACAATTAGTTCCTGGTGGAGAGTGAGGGGCAACTGAGAATCCCATTGCTAAGCGTATTCCAGCAGTCCAGATGATGTTCTTCTTGTATGGCTGCCTATTGTCACATAGCCAGATTGTCACATAGCCAGTTGTCCCCCACTCTCCAGCCACTACATGGCCATGAAGGAGGTGAACTCCAGGAGAAGGAGGAGACATTATGTAGTTCTACCATGGCAAAAGTATATAATGTGTCTCCTCAGCCAGGATCTTGGCTGACATTTTCTTCCCCATCTCCCTTTTATTATTTCTTTTCTGTTGCTTCCTTTCCACTAAGGTCCTACAGGGACAAACCACTGGAAAACTGGGATGGGGTAAACTGGGAAAGGAGTGTTGCTCTAAGAAAACATGGCAAAAAATGACAGCTTACAGGCAAAACTATTAATTTTCAAGCAGTTGCGAGGTCTCTTACTTATTTAATATTTTAAAAATCTTAGTTTTTGGAAACTAAGTGGGATTCCAGCTATTTTGTTTCCATCCTTAAAGAACAGCATTTCACACTGGCCCAGTTACCTCTTCACCAAATATGGGCCTAAATAGTTTCACAAATTTCTTAGGCTGGTTGTTTGTCCATGCTGTTGCTATGTACTGGCAATGGTAATGTTCTTTTAAACATATTTTTGGTAGTATATGTTGAGTCTCCTTTTCTCAAATCCTTAGAACAAAAAGCTTTTCAGATTTTATTTTTTTATGTTATACCTGTATTTGCAATATATGCAAAGGGGACTAGGCACAGTTCCAGCACCCATTGAGTTTTTGTCTCAAGGAGCCCTGAGAAAGGAAAGAGGGAGGGGAGAGATACAAAGTTATACGAAGCTCCAGATGCATCCTTGGCTATCAGCATATTTTCCACCCTTTTAGCAAAGCAGCCAAGAAGAAAGGGGAAAACCCTTTTCCCCACCCAAACCCATGAGATGTATATAAATAGTGGCCAATGGGTCACTCCACATTCACCCTGATGGCTGTTTCCCACTGCTGCCATTTGGCAAGGTGAAAGGCAAGCGTGGGAGCATCTGAGATGCCAGCTTTTGATAGAGCCCTTGTGTAAACAGAGTCTTCTCCCCTACTTTTCGTCTCTTTTTCCCATCAGATTAGTCCCCTTTCCCCAAAGGCAGAGGTGGGCAGCTGTCAGCAAAAAGATTCAATTTTTGGAATATTTTGGATTTCCAGTTAATTGTATGCTAACTTCTGTGCTTTGAATCAGTTTGCAGCAATTGAAGTAACTAGAATGAGGAGGAGGAAGTGGGGTATAAAATGATTGCCACAAGAACGTGAATTAATATGCTGTTGGTTGTATTCATTTTTCACTGATGGAAGGCATCTGCCAATGGAAGATATTCAAGTTTTCAAAGATACTGTTAACTTTTCCCATTCAGGATGGTTTCTCAACCTTCTGTGTGCCATTTTCAGTGGCCTTCAATTTCCCTTCCACCAGGAGTGGGTTGACTCTCCCTGGCTTTTTCTCCAATGCCTTCCCCAAAGCCAACAGCATCAGCAATTGAACAAAACTTTCTTTGTCCTCTATAGAATGCTAATGTATGTGTTTGCTTCTTCCCATAGTTTGACCTTGTGTGTGACAACAAATGGATGATAGACATGACACAAGCTGTTCTCAACCTAGGGTTTTTAATCGGAGGGTTCACTCTAGGCTACGCTGCCGACAGGTAAATCATTCTAAAGATCACATATTTTCAGCTGAAAAAATCAGGCTACTTCACATCTGATGTTATTTGTGTGGGAAATAAAAGGAAGAGTCCTTGTGGGTGGCTTTTTGACAAAAAAAAGAAGCAAAAAAGCAGAGGGATTTGTACCTTAGCGAAAAGCACCAAAAATAGGAAGTCTTCACTCAGCTTTAGAATCAGCCTTAGAGTCCACATGATGTCCATAGCTATTCATACACATAAAAATTACCTGTTTTGTAGACTGATTCTAAAGCCAAAAAGGAAACCACCCTTAGCTTCATCAAGGTAAAGAAGGATAAATAAACCATGACACAGAGACAATGAGGAAGCAGAAGAAAGTGGGGAAAGGTTTGAGTCCCATTCTTCCTAGGGTGGATCTAGACAGCCCCTTTAGTGCGGAAATTTCTGCTATAAAAGGGAGGCTGTCCAGACAACGTTCTGGCCAAACTGGAATTAATTTGCCACAAACCAGAAAAACCCTGGTTTGTGGCAAATTAATTTGATAGTGGGTTTATTCCACACCTTCTTAGACAGTATTCCCACAGTTTTCCAGGAATACCAACCTCCTCCCCCAAAGCCCTAAAAAGCCCTTTAAAAAAGAAAAGTACTTACCCGGCCTCCATTGGAGAGCTGCTGCAGCTCTCCTAGTGCGTAGAAATGACGTGCCAGGAGAATGGGGGAGGAAGAGGAAAATCGCTTCCCCTTCCTTTCTCTTAATGCTTCATTTCTACATGTCAGGAGCTGCGGCAGCTTTCCAATTGAGGCCAGGTAAGTACTTTTCTTTTACACAATATGTGCTATTGTGATTTTTAAAATGCTTATATTGTCTTGTTAATTTTATGTTTATGCTGTTTTCTTTGTATGTATTAATGATGTTACTTGGAAACCGTTCTGAGTCCCCTCAGAGAGATAGAGCGGTATATAAAGAAAGTTTTGTTGCTGTATTTTAAAAGAGCTTTTAAAGGGCTTTTGGGGAAGGAGTAGAGTGTTCCAGTGTCCTCCTGGGGCTGTCCCGGAAGGACATTTGGGCATCCTCCCCGAACGTGCACGCTTTCTGGAGTGTGTGTGGACATGGCCCCAGGAACATCCACGTTTTATAACGCAAATGCTCCTGGGATAAAGCCCTGTCTGGAAAGGCCCCCACTGTTTCTTTGTTGCTGATCATTTCCCCCTCTTAACTTAAAAAAACCCCCACAAAAAAACCAAACAACAAACAAACAAAACCCCAACAAAAGTAAAATACATTATAACAAAGTCCATCTCTGAAGGTATTATGGTATTTAAGTCCCTTTCACACTATACTATTACAACAATATAGTCCCATCTTAACTGTTAGGGCAACATCCCGAAGAAGCCTGGGAATTGTGGTTTAGTGAGGCATTTCGGATTCTTTGGTGGAGAGCCTTGCTGCCTCACCAGACTATAAATTGCTAAATTCCATAGGATGCTGCCATGGCAGTTCAAGTGGATTCATTGTGCTCCAATAATGTGTTGTAAAAGGACTCTAAGAATGGTTTAATTATTAATCTTGTCAAAAAAATCTGGGTCAGTGTAGGGTCAGTATATATTTATTCAAAACTAAATCTTATCAGTTTCAGTGGAACTAAATTGAACAGGTTGAAGATGGCAGCCTTTACATGCTCGTTGGCTTAATCGTCCTGTGCAAAGGTAGTCAATGTGCCTGCTGCCAGGGGGTAATGAACCCAGAGCTGCTGCAGATTTAACAGGAGCTGCTACTGGTACTGTACTTTCGCACTAGTAGATCTCCCATTTAATTCAGAGCAGCTATGGGGAATGGCGAAATTGGGGGCAGATATTTCAGTCATACAGCAGCAGATTAGCTGCCTACTTTGTGATTCTGTCTCCAAGTAACCCTGAGACCAGTGTGTCTGTGTACAATTCAAAGAGTTGCAACGATGCAACAGGGATATTTATTGTCGGCAGTTGGGTCACAGACTCTTTGCTGTTACAAAATGGTTTAAATCACAATGCTTTTTAATAAAATTGTTTCATTTGTATTAGCGAACTTCATTTATATTAGTGAACCTCTCACAGCTCCCATCTGCACTGCCATATAATTTAGGTCAACTCAGTAAAACTGCATTATGAAACTGCATTATATGGCAGTGTAAATGGGGCCAGAGTATACCTTCTCAAAAATATTTAATAACAGTAGTGTTTTGAGTTTTGGATTCCCCCCCCCCCCCCGCTGAAATTTGGGGTAATTGCATAATAATGATATATTTTGGAGATAGGACCCAAGTCTACACACCAGATTCATTGAGGTTTCCAATACACCTTATAAACATACCCAAAGGTAATTTTATGCATACTATTAATAACAATTCTGTGCATGAAATAAAATTTGTGTACACTGAAACATTGGAAAACAAAGGTTTATCTCAACCACCCATGTGGAAAATTTTGTAGCATTTCGGATTTGCAGATAACGTACACTCAACCTGTATACTTTTTGCCAGATGCTTTAAAAATATCTCTCCTTTCTCTTTTTTTGTTTCTGGTTTTTTTTTTGTCAGATATGGCAGAATTCTCATTTATCTCTTCTCTGCCTTTGGGGCAGGATTGTGTGGCCTCATTGTGGCTTTTGCAGAAAACATTGTAGTATTTTCAATATTTCGCTTTCTGCAAGGTGTATTTGGAAAAGGAACCTGGATGACAGCCTTTGTTATTGGTAAGGTGTGGTGTGTTTTTACTTCTTCCTCTTAACCTGGGAGTGGGAGGAAGTGGGATGGATGTTGGATGGGGTTATTCCTTCAGATGCCTTCCACTTTGAGGTGAACTGATGCATTGCAAATGCTGCAAAGGATCACGGAGTGTCCCTGGGGTGGTCTGTCCATTCTAGAGCTATTGCTGCCAATGGGAACTTCTATAATGCAAAGGAATGTTTTTCAGCATGAGTCTTTCAAGGAAGAAAATTTGTAAACCTTCCTCACCAGCTGCAATTTTGATAATGATCAGCCTACCCAAACATTTGATTTTTAAAGGGCATATTAAATGCAGACTCATTTAATGTAGGACTTCTTAAACTGTGGATGCCCTTATCTCAATCCTGGGGTCACACGAAATGGCAATAGTAAAATGTTTCTGAATGCCACCTATTTACACAAATCTCTTAGCAACCATGTTTTTACAGTGGACTCTGCAGAAAATGCTTCAGCTGTACTTCATTAAAATTAAAATCAGCCTTTTTAGCACACCTTGCAAATGCTAGCTTTTTATCAGTAAATGTTCGATTTCTATATTAATGTTATATACTTATAAACCCAGGGTCATCTAAAACTTTCTCAGGTAGAAAGGGGTCATGAAAAAAAGTATTGGGTATAAAGGGATCATGGATGGAAAACGTTTAAGATGCCTTGCCTAATTGACTTACAGAATATTTGTGCTAAATATTTATAGCCATTTGCTATTACTTTAACTCTGGTGGCTCCATCCTTGTCACAACTCAGGGTAGTTTTCACCTTGCTCAAGACACCACCACACACCAAAGTTGTAGGTTTTGTAGTTTATTGAGAAAAAGCAAAATCCAAACAGAGAAATAAAGATGCAAAAGTTCAATAGGCAAAACAGAGTCTTAAATGCAAGGCAAGATTCCCAAGATCCACAGGCAAATAACATGAAGCATAAGCCCTTAACAATGGTCAAAAAATAGTCCATGGTAGACAGGTAAAATCAGGATCAGAATCAAGTCTTAAAGAAACCAGAAGTGTTCTGCAAAAGCCAAGATAATTCCACAGAAGTTAACGAGTATGAAGCAACATTGGACTGACAAGAAATGCCTGTCAGCCACATCATTAAATAAGTTTCCCTGACACGAAAGCATTGCGTTGACCTTTGGCTTCCCTCTTACTGGTCAGACGTGTGCTTCTGCGAAGCCTTAATTGCAAACGATCCTGTCTGCTCATTAATTCACCATTATCTTCAAGGCTATACAACTCCTTATCTTAGCCCAGCTGGGCCGGATCACTCTGAGAACCGAAAGGAGTCTCCACCTGCACTTGTGGGATTTCACTAGCTCTATCAAAAGGCACATTCCTTTCCCCGGGGAACAGGCTTGCTGTTTCTTCTTCAGAAGCCACACTATCAGCCCCGTCTGGAACATGTACAGGAATCTGTAACCCATCAGCCTCCTCATCATCCTGCAGAAAGTCAAGCTCAGAAGGCCCAAAAGGCCCAAAAGGCCCAAACAGTTCCGTTTCAGACTCAGACTGAGCCACGACAATCCTGTAGAATCCTAAGATATGTACTTTGATGAGAGAATACTTAGGTGACTTCTTTGCTGACATGGGGCCACCCAACTCCCCCTCCCCAACAATTATCCATCTAGTATTTTATTTATTTATTTATTTATTTAAAATGTTTATATCCCGATCTTCTCTACCTCCGTAGAGGGACTCGGACCGGCTGTTTAGCCGTAAACAGACATGGTTGGGAAGGTGAGAAAAAATTCTGCACAAAAAGAGAACAAGCAAAAGCTGTAGTTTTGAGAAAGAAACGATTTTCTTTTGCTTTTATAGTCTTGATTTTCAGTGTTGGAATTTTCTTATGACTCATACCTTAATGGTTAAATCCCCTCTTGACTCTGCCCCCCTCTTCCCTTTCTAGCCATTAATCAATACATGACTTCATAGGCCCCTTCCACACTGCCCTATATCCCAGAATCTGATTCCAGATAATCTTCTTATCCCAGATTATCTGGTAGTGGAGATTCATATAATCCATCTTAAACTGTTTGTGTATTTGTATATTTTTAATTGTTATGCTGATGCTTTTATGTTAAGCTTTCTAGAGTCCCCTTCAGGGGAGATAAAGTGAGGTATTATTATTATTAACAACAACAACAACAACAACAACAACAACAACAGCCAGATAATCTGGAATCAGATCCTGGGATATAGAGCAGTGTAGATGGGGCTTCAGTTAGCAGCCATGTCACTCCTTAAAATGGCTGCAAGCCCTTCACCAGGATGGGGACATGATAGTTAAAACAATTTCAAAACAATATATAATGTGTTGTACAAAACCGGACTTCTTAAACTTTTCCCACTTGTGACCCATTTTTGTCCAAGAAATGTTAGGGTGACTTCAGGTATATAGGTATAGAAAATCTTTTCCCAAATCTTTCAGGGCTCAACCTGGGGGTCGGGACCCCTGGAAGGGAGTTTCAGGGGGGGAGGGGTCACCAAAGACCATCAGAAAACATATATTTCTGATGGTCTTAGAAACCCCTTTGGCAGAGAAATCTGAAGATTTCTCCACCTGTCCTCTTCCTTTTTGGAAAAAGATGACGATTCTCCCACCAAAAGCCCTTCTCTGTTGTGACTGGGTGGCCTCTAAGCTGGCCTCTCATCCAAGGGGTGGGCTGTTTCTGAGACTCCAAGTGGGGAGGGGAGAGCAAGTATGCTCAGCATATGGCAATGTGGTGCACATGTGCGAGCAAGGGAGAGCATGCAGGACTGGGGGGAGGTTCACGCCAGAGACTCCCTTCAAGGCATGGGGGTTCTGGGTGGGAAGTTTGGCCCAATTCTATTGTTGGTGGTGTTCAGAATGTTTTGTTTGTAGGTGAACTATAAATCCCAGCAATTACAACTCCCAAATGTCAAGGTCTATTTTCCCTAAACTCCACCAGTGTTCACATTTGGGCATATTAAATATCCGTGCCAAGTTTGGTCCAGATCCATCATTGTTTGAGTCATCAATGCTCTCTGGATATGAATGAACTACACCTCTGAAACTCAAGGTCAATGCCCACCAAACCCTTTCAGTATTTTCTGTTGGTCATGGGAGTTCTATGTGCCAAGTTTGGTTCAATTCCATCATTGGTGGAGTTCAGAATGCTCTTTGATTATAGGTTAACTATAAATCCCAGAAACTACAACTCTCAAATGACAAAATCAATCCCCCCTGCCCCCAACCCCACCAGTATTGAAATTTGGGCATATTGGGTATTTGTGCCTAATTATTATTATTATTTTTATTAAACTTTATTTGTACCCCGCTAGCATCTCCCAAAGGATTCGATGCGGCCGAGGCCTCAACACACAACACAACAATACAATCTAAGCAAATCAAACAATTAAAAACAGAATAAAGCAAAATAAACAACAGGCACAATACAGTAAACACAATAAAACTGGGCCGGGCCAGAGCAATGGGTACAAGATTAAAAGTGCTGATGTGACAGGAGGTGTATATAGGGCTTCCAGGGCAAGTGCGATGTGCGATGTGCAGCAATCATTGGTTCTGGTAAAGTGCTTATGGGACTTGGTAGTGGAGATTTCCTAATCTGGGAAGGCGCATCGGAAAAGCCAGGTCTTCAAGTTCTTTCTGAAGACAGCCAATGTAGGGGCCTGTCTAAGGTCTTTGGGGAGGGTGTTCCAGAGTCGGGGGGGCACCACGGAAAAGGCCCTGTCTCGCGTCCCCACCAAGCGCGCTTGCGAAGCCGGTGGGATCACGAGCAGGGCCTCTCCAGATGACCGAAGAGAACGTGTGGGTTCGTAGATGGAGATGCGGTCACGCAGGTAGGCTGGTCCCAAACCGTTCAGGGCTTTGTAGGTAAGCACCTGCACCTTGAATTGGGCTCGGAAAATAAATGGCAGCCAGTGGAGCTCCTTAAACAGGAGGGTTGACCTCTCTCTGTAAGGGGCCCCAGTTAGCATCCTGGCTGCTGATCGTTGGACCAGTTGGAGCTTCCGAGCCATCTTCAAGGGCAGCCCCACATAGAGCGCATTGCAGTAATCCAATCTGGAGGTGACCAAGGCATGGACCACTCCGGCCAGATCCGCCTTCGCAAGGTACGGTCACAGTTGGCGCACAAGTCTCAGTTGTGCAAAGCCCTCCCAGACACCGCTGACGCCTGAGCCTCAAGCTTAAGCGGTGAATCCAAGAGGACTCCCAAACTGCGGACCTGTGACTTCAGGGCGAGT